TTTTTTTTTTTTTTTCCTCTAAGCTTTTTATTGTGATCTGGGTGAAAGTTTACAGTGCAAATTGGTTTTCCATTTGACAGTCCATACACATTTTGTTTTGTGAAATTGATTGTAATTCTCACAATGTAACAGCACTCTTCCCACTTCCTCCCTGCTTACCATTTCCATCAGTCCTTCTTTCTTATTCTTTTCTGCCTCCTTGGATTTATTTCAAGGCAAATACTGCCCTTTGGATCTTGCATGGTTGATTATTCTAGGGTCTGCATACCTGCCTGGTATTATTGTTCACCTTATAGGACTGTCTACCCCTTGGTGGAAAGTTGAGCCAGACGCTGATTTCAGTTCCATTCATTTTTGAAACCCATTAGCCTCACCTTCCCCAATATCTGCCCATCAGTCTTCTATTCAGGACTGACTACATAATCTGTAGGACCCAGAAATGAAAATGTAGGGACCCTTGTTAAAATACTATTAATAATATCAAGTTAGCAAAAGTAGCACATTATAAAAAGGGTGAGGCTCTTTGAAGTGCAGGGCCCTCTGTGATTCCATAACTTGCACATCCATGAATCTAGCCCTTAATACCTTGGATACCACATACATTTCTATATACACAAGAATATTTTATACTGCTATTTTTTTTGTGTGTGTTAATAATAATTCTGTCTTTTAGTTATTCCTCATATCTATCTGGGAGCCTCTTCACCATCATTTAATTTTCAGACTTCTGTGTCAACCCAAATGGAGCCTGTCACTCTGTCCTATGTACTTTCAGAGCCTTTGGACATACTTCTATTTTATTGTGCAATTGTCATGTGCTGAAATTGTTTATTTTATATCTTTTTTGCTAATCAAGATTGTTAATCTGTTTTGTATATTGCCTAGCATACGATTGTGGAGATAAAGTAGAGAAGAATGAAAAAAGGAAGAAAAGAAGGAAGGAAGGGAGAAAAAAAGGAATAATGAAAACAGCATTGATAACTTCTTTTCTCATCTACATTTGTGTTTTTAAATGCAATTTGGAAATCTTAATGGTTTTACATATGTGAATACAGCCTAATAAAACTATTTCAGTCAGACAAGAAAGTTTATACTAAAAAAGGTACACGACTAATTTTTATGAAAAGTGTAATTTTACCTGTTCAAATTACAAAATGTCACAGCTGGGAATTCCATCTTTTCCACATATTGAACTTCCACAGACGTTGTGGTGGGCCAAGTGAAGTAGTTGACTAAGCGACTGTGAATCTGCCACACGACAAGCAAGACTGAGCCCAGCACTACCACCAACCAGATCACCTTCCGAATTTTGTTATGGTTCCGTACAATATTGTGTACTCCATGAAAGGAGGTGGAGATGGCAAAGTCGTAGTCAAACTTCTTTCGGTCAGTAGGCAATGGCAGTGGTTTCTTTGAAAGGTAAAGTTTTATCTTTTCCAAAAGTCCTTAAGGTTTTCCACACAAAATAATTAAACAAAAATAACAATGAGTTGAGAAACCTTAATGCTATCTGCATAGAACATAGCTCATACAGACTACCCTTTCTATGTGTAATATATAAAGATTCAAATTTATCCTGAGTTGAATGGTTTACTTAGAAATCAAGTTGTATAAAGTTGACTGACTGGTCTTATGAGAAAATGCTATGCTACTCAGAAAATATATACTATACCTTTATGTGGGAGCTCTGGTAGCATAGTGGCTAAGACACTTGCCTGCTAACCAGAGGGCTGGCGGTTCAAAGCCACCATCCACTCCTCGGAAGGAAGGTTGGGCAATCCTACTTCCGTAGTGATACTGCCTCGGAAACTCAGGGAGGGGTCGCTATGAGTCGGGGCTGACTCCACGGCACATAATAACAACAACAACAGCATACCTTTATGTTGAGATTGCAATTTTAAATTCAAATGTATTCATGAAATCATATAAATAGGTGTGGCTTCAAAATCTCATAATCTTTGGAAAGTTAGCTTTTATTTTTAAAATACTCTTTGATCCTGAAATATCACAGTCTCTTTGATGTCATCAACAAGACAAGACTTATTCTTCAAAAAATAGTAAATGGGACGAAGAAGTAAACAGTCCTTCAAATAATCTTAATCCTATGGTATTTTATTTTATGGCTGAATGTAACTGTCATAACTTCATATACTTTAAGACACAACTATTTGTTATTTCAATTGGTTATTTAACCAGACTTTTTAGAGTTGCATTATTAGTTGTTGTTGTTAGGTGCCGTCCAGTCAGCCCCAACTCATAGCGACCCTCCATGGGTTTCCAAGACAGTATCACTACAGAAGTTGATCACCCAACCTTCCTTCCGATGAGTGGCTGGTGGGTTTGAACCACTAGCTTTCTGGTTAGCAGTCAAGTGCCTTAGGCACTATGCTACCAGAGCTCCCACATTAGTAATCTATTTTCTAAGGGTAGCCATTGGATACTTTGTGGCAATATATAACATATTCAGAATTTTCTTTTGGTTTAATTTCTGTTTATTTGTCCATAGGAGAGATGCTGAGCATTCCTTTGCTGAAGGAAGGCTACAATACAATTAAGAGAGTGAGAGTAGGAAAACCTTATTTCCAGCCCAGGTCTCTTGTATTGTAAACTGGTCAACCTCATCCAAGCTTCTTAACCTAATACCTCTTTTCTCTTTTGTCAAATACCAGAAGTGTCTGCCTCAATATCTGCTTCATGAAATATTGTGAATATTAGTTGAGAGAAGACTGAGAACATTACCAAGACCATAATAAATATTCAAAAATATTGCTATTTTTATTATTTTTCTAATTTAGTAGAGATGTGATGAATGATAAAAGTTTCAGGAACTTTTGAAAACTACATAAAATTCTGAGTTTTTAATGTTGTTATCAATGTTTATAATTAAGTGAATTTATTATAGCTCCTTTTTTACAATTTAAACAGCATTTTTGATCAACCAACCAATATTTATTTATTTCAAGCTCAATTATCATTAAGTCATTATTAAATACTTCATAGTATCTCCAGTCAAACAGCTAAGCTTATCAAAATTTATAGGACACTTATGATATCTAAAAGGAATCTATGAACATTTTCTAAGATGTTATTTCCTTTCCAAAGTGCTAGGACACTATTACGAATTATGTTATGATTCTTTTACAAAAACCATGTTCTAAGTAGGAAAGATCGTACTGTTCTGATTAAAGTTACACTAAAATTTTATATTAGCTCTTACACATGTTGTTTTTGGTATCAAGTAAAGTAATAAATGTATAGTAATTATTATAGTCTGAAGGGAAAATAAAAATAAATCTATTTACTCTTCTGCTTATTTTTTAGGCATTATTTATAAAACCCTGTGAAGAATTCATTCTGGTAAAAGGACAAGTCAATCTCTGGGCAACTCTCACCCTTGCTTCTATAGGTACCAAAGCTATCAGAAGAACAATAATCTAGTAAACAGTTATTGGGCCAAGCAAGGTATTATTGGCTATCAGCAGTTTTCTGAGAAATATATAGTTCACATTTACCTGTAAAAAATCATCCCATTTAATATAGACTTATTCCTTGGCAAATGCTTTGGCCTTGCTGGAGTAGTATCAGTCACTTATTGGTTTTAATTTAGTTTATTATTATTATTTTAAATAAATAGTAAAGAAACCAAGCAATGTATTGTTGTGAGGCAGATTGGAATCATTTTAATACACGACTTTCCAGCCTGCAATTTAGGACACTTTCCTAACTGAGGCATACACTGTGATTATGGCAAGTAGCCCTTATATTAATTAAATGCAATCCTCATAGCTGCATGTTGAGGGACAAAATGCAGTTTTTCTGAAGTTCAAAAACAAAACCTACAGTTACATGACAAATAGAAACCAAAGCAGAAGAAAAACCAGAGTTTCTAGCGTATAGTATATATTTTAAAAATAATTATTTTCTCCGTCATACAAGATAATCTTTTTCCAAGTAACAAGAAATGCTTTACTTATATTATATTTATGTAATTTACATTATATGCAAGTGATACTGGAAATCAAATTTCCCACATTAAAAATTAAAAAAAAAAAAAAACTCTCCCTTTTTCCTACTTTCTAGACTCTAGAAATTAAAATTGTAACTGTTCTGAGATTTTAATCCTTACCCACCTTTCTCAGAATATACATTTGCTTTTTCAATATGCTCCATTCTTGATTTCAGTAAGCAGGAGCCCTCAGGGTAAGTCTGCTTTTCATCAATGACCGTAGTCATTTTGCGGCCTTTATATAAAATACGACAGTTGAGATAGTAAAACGTGGGGGCAATTTAAATGTTTGTGTTGCTATGGTTTGCCTCATAAAACACCTAATCTGCAAACTAAGAATGCTGGATTTATGAGGGCTCTCATAGAATGAAAAACAGAAAGTATCATTAAGAAACAACTTTTTCAGATTAAAAGGCAAAAACCCTATGAGTTTTATAGTATGGTACCCAACAAGTTAGTTTACACTCAGACAACGCAACAGGAAATGAGTCTAGCTTATATCTTCTACAGTGTTTGTTTTGGTTACCTCTGTGCTGCTCTAAAGAAAATACCACAAATGGGATGGTTTGAACAAACGGAATTTATTCTCTTAAAGTTTTGGAGACTTTAAGTCTGAGTTCAAAGTGCCAGGCTCTAGGAGCTGCGTCAAAACCCCTCAACCTTGGGCTTCAATTCTGCCTCCTGCTCCAGCCCACTGAAGCTGGAGGCTTTTCTTCACTCATACAGCTGCTGGCAGCTGAGGCTGACAAGTCCAAGGTTGACAAGTAAAAAGGCACAGTCCCAATGTTACCAAACCACATGGCAGCCATTAATTCAGGTGCAGATGAAGTCCCGATATCAGTAGGGCATGCCAGGCTTTTGAACAATGACTTGACTACATGCAGGGTTCAGGTCTGCCAAAAGGCTAGACACCATTCCCAAAGCTGTTTCTTATATACTGGAAGCAAACCACATCCCTAGATCAGCTACTCAGCTGCTCCAATAGATTTCACCATGGAGTTAATCACCACTCTCACCATGGGGAATAATTACATCCAGCTGCCCAGCCACTCAACCAGGCCCAGCCAAGTTGACACACAAACTTAACCACCACAGTGTTGAATCAAAATGAAATTGGAATGAAATTTTTGTTGTAAAGGTGTCTTTTCTTTGTTGAAGTTTCTTTTTTTACTAACAGATAAAGCAATTTTTTACAGACATAATAGCCAATAAAAAGAATACATCATGAAATATCTCCTCAGGAAGAAATAATTACTAAAGCATATACATTTAATAGAGCACAAAGGTTAATTATTTGTTCTTATTAACAGGTTTGAGAAAATATTAAAATGTATTATATTAAATAATAAATTAGAGAATATACACGATTGTGTATAAATAGTGCCATCTCTTGGCAAAGAGGAGGAATTGCATGTATCCTCACTAGGCCCTCTTGGATTTGCCATTGTAATGCAATATTTGATAAATATGTAACTATTAACCATTGACACCTTGGTTTTCCATATGTTTCCTTGGAATCTCAGTAGCATAAGTGAAATTAGGTCTTATATGGTTATTAACTAAGAAACCTCAAGTGATAACAAATGAAGGGTCCTGGAAAGACTTGCCTGAAATCCAATGAAAGATTTCAGGAAGAGAGTTAATCCTAATGATGAATTTAAATTCATTAAATTCTTTTCCTTTAGGTTAAATTACAACTTCAAGAATAATATTTTAAAATGTAGATCTTCTGAAACGAATAGTCTCTAATTTACCTACTCATCCTTTCTTTCTTCATTTTTATTCTTTCTTCCATCCTACAAATACTTGGAGAGTCCATATGATGTATTTGGTAATCCATATAATTTTGGAATTATACAAAGACAGTTACTAAGGTACTAAATAGGTCTATAACAAGCACCAATCAGTTGCTGTTGAGTCAGTTCCTATTCACAGTGACTCCACGTGTGTTAGAATAGAACAGTGCTTCATAGGGTTTTCAATGACTGATTTTTATACAGGAGACACCCAGACCTTTCTTCTGAGGTGCTTTTTGGTGGACTTGAATCATCAGCCTTGTAATTATTGTCCAAGTTTTTAACCTGTTCTTAGGTATCATTGAGTCAACTCTGACTCATAGTGGTCCTATGTATGAAAGAATGAAACATTATCCTGCCTTGCACCATCACATTAATAGATATGTTGCAACCACTATGTCAACCCATCTCCTTGAATGTCATCTTCTTTGTGGACCCTCAACTTTAAAAGCATGATGTGTCCTTCTTCAGAGATTGGTCTCTCCCTGGTAACTTGTCCAAAGCAAGCAAGATGAGATCTTATCATTGTCATTTCTAAGGAGTATTCTGGTTGGATTTTCTCCAAGACAAAGTTGTTCATTCTTCGAGCTATCTGTTCAGTATTCTTTGCTAACACCATGATTCAGCAGTGTTTATTTTTATTCAGTCTTCCTTTTTCCTTGTCCAACTTTCACATGGATATGAGGTGATTGAAAATATCCTGGCTAAGGTCAGGTACACCATAGTCTATAAGGTGATAACTTGGCATGTTTGCTTTTTAGCACTCTAAAGAAGTTACTTGAAGCAGATTTTCCTCAAGTAATACGATGTTTGATTTCTTGAATACTATTTTCATAAGCATTGATTGTTGATCAAAAAGAATGCAATCTTTGAAAACTTCGATTTCTTTGCCATTTATTATGATGTTATTTATTGGTCCAAGGTTTTTATTTTCTTTATGTTGACGTATATTCCATGCTGAAAACAGTTGTCTTTATTTTTCATTAATAACAGCTTCAAGTTGTGTTTAATTTTGGCAAGCAAAATTGTGTCATCTGCATATCTCAGTTGTTAATTAGTCTTCCTTCATGTCTGATATTGTGTCTTTTTCATGTAGTCCAGTTTCTCTGATCATTCCTCACATACAGATTGAATAAGTACTCTGAAAAAATACAACTCAGATGCACAACTTTTCCAATTTTAAACACACAGTTTTCTAGATATATATTCATTTTGTTTTGTGACATTGGTTGCAATCCCCTCAATATAGTAGCACCCTTCTTCCTTTCTCCATGTGTCAATCCATCTCAATGAGGGTCTTCCTCTTTTTGATTGACACTCCCCTTTATCAGCATGATACCCTTCTCCAGAGACTGGTGTCTCCTGAAAACATGTCCAAAGTACATGAGACATCCTTGCTTCTAAGGAGCATACTGGTTGTACTTTTTTCAAACCAGATTTATTTTATCTTCTGACAGTCCATGATATATTCAATATTCTTCATCAACACCACAATTTAAAGGCATCATTTCTTCTTTGTTCTTCCTTATTCATTGTCCAGCTTTTGCATGCATATGTAATGATTGATAACACTATGGTTTGGTTTAGGCACAATTGACATCTTCACCTTTTATCATTAAAAAGAGATCTTTTCGAGTAAATTTACTCAATGCAATACATCATTTGATTTCTTGACTTCTGTTTCCATGGAAATTGATTGCAGATCCAAATAAAATGAAATCCTTGACAACTTTAAACTTTTCTCCATTTATCAGGATGTTGCTTATTGGTAAGTTGTGAGAATTTTTGTTTTCTTTATGTTGAGGTATAATTCATATTGAAGACTGTAGTCTTTTATCTTCATTAGGGAGCTCTTCGAGTCATCTTCATTTTCAGCAAGCAAAATTATGTCATCTGCATATTTCAGGTGGTTAACGAGTGTTCCTCCAATCCTGATGCTATATCCTTCTTCATATATTCCAGCTTCTCAGATTATTTGCTCAGCATAAAAACTAAATAAGTGTAGTGAAAATATACAACCTTGATGCATATCTTCCCTGATTGTACACCATGCAGTATCTTCTCATCTTTTTGAATGACAGCCTCTTTGTCCATGTACACATTTCTCACGCTCGTGTGTAATTATGTATTCTGCAATTCCCATTCTTTGCAATGTTATCCACAATATCACAATTTGTTATGATAAAAAAAAAGAAAAAAAAAAAAAAAAGCCCTGCCAAACTCACTGTCATCGTGTCAATTCTGACTCAAAGCAACCCCGGGTTTCTGAGGCTGTAAATTTTTACAGAAGTAGGTTGCCCCAGCAGAGCGGTTGGTAGGTTTGAACTACCTTCTGGTTAACAGTCAAATGCCTTATCCACTACACCACCAGAGCTCTTTTGTTATGATCTACACAGTTAAATACCCTGCATAGTCAATAAAACACAGCCAAGATCTCTCTGACATCAGCAATGATATCTCTCATTCTATGCCCTCTTTTATACCTGGCTTGAATTTCTGGAAATTCCTTGTCAATGTACTGCTGCAACCATTTTTGAATTATCTTCAGCAAAATTGTACTTGCATGTGATATCAATGATACTATTGAATAATTTCCATATTCTAGTGCATCACCTTGCTTTGGAATTGGCACAAATATGAATCTCTTCCAGTAGATTGACCAGCTATCCATCTTCCAAAGTTCTTGGCATAGATGATTACCTCCAACACTACATCCATTTGCTGAAACTTTCAGTTGGTATTAGGTCAATTCCTGGAGCCTTTTTTTTTTCCCACCAATATCTTCAGTGTAGCTTGGACTTCTTTAAAAACTATCAGTCCTTGAGCATATACTACCTCTTGAAATGGTTGAATGTCAACCAATGCTTTTTCATACAGTAAATCTGTGTATTTCTTCCATTTTCTTTTGGCACTTCCTCTGTTGCTCAACAGTTTGCCCATAGAATCCTTCAATATTGCAACTCAGGGCTTGAATTTTTTTCTTCAGTTGTTTCAACTTGAGAAATGTTGTTAATGTTCTTCCCTTTTGGTTTTCTAACTCCAGGTCTTTGCACATTTCTTTACAATACTTTTCCTTATCTTCTTAAGTTGCCCTTTGAAATCCTCTGCTCAGCTGTCTATTTCATTACTTTTTTTTCCATTCACTTTTGCTACTCAGTGTTCATGCTTCTGAGTTTCTACTGAAGTCCACTTTGGTCCTTTCTATCACTTAAATAACCTTTTTTTTTTCTTCATGTATAACACTTTGATGTCATCCCACAACTATTCTGGTGTTTGATCATCAGTGTTCAGTGCATCAAATCAATCCATTCTCAAGATGGTCTCTAAATTCATGTGGGATATAACTAAAGGCATGTTGTAGATCTCATAAATTTGTTTTAATTTTCTTCAGCTCCA